GAAGATACCCTACAGGCAAGGGTTTTTTTTCTCCTGGTCAGATGCTGCCTGACCTGTCATGAACACAACAGCAAATCTATATAATCTTGTCTGTAACATAATGCTCCCTACAGAAATACTTGATTTCCCAAAGCAACAATGGCATTTTCATTATTGTGGCTGCTTCTGCTGTTAATTTCAAAAGTTACCAAAAATCAAAAGCTAAGCAAGATCAGAGGGAGTTTTCTGAATAGGCTGCAAAACTCAAGAGTATTCAAACACCACTCCTGTCCTCAACAGCAAAGCCAGACTGAATGTGAGTTTAATTGTGGTTATTGTCAGAAAGTTTTGGAAGCTGTAATGTTCTAATTTTTTAGTATAAAGGTCTACGTAAAGCAAGTACTGTGCCAAAGGCAATGCTATTTTTTATATTCCTAATGCAGCTGGGACAAATCACAAGCTCTCAGACCAACACATTCTTCTCTAATCCCAAAAAGCAGCCTATTTGCATGGTGGACTGAGAAGGGTACTGGGCATCTCAAGGTATTATTCAGAAAATAATTTATAAACAAGCACCTATTGTTTGATATTAAGATCATGCTGAATTTTGGAAACTTTAGTGACCTGTTCTACTTAGAGAATGCAAAGAGAGAATTACGCATCATCCCTTCACGATACCACTTCATAGGCTTTTACAACCATCAAACACTGGTTATGCAACCAGTATTCAGAGGGAAGAACAAAGATGCTGTAGATGGGCTTCTCTTAAATGTAAAAGTGTGCATGAGACTGGTGGGTTGCTCGAAAAAGAATACAAGTGTGGCTTTTCCATGTTTTCCAGCTATTAAAACACACTGCTGACCTGTAGCTTATGCATTTCCGGGTTCTGGTAGACCTTCTTTCAAGCAGCTTTGATTTTGGCTTTTTGGAATCTTTCTTCTTTTCTTCCTGACCTTCAGGTATTTCTGGCTCCTATTCACGTAACACAGAAATGTCAAAAAGGTTTATATCCCCCACTCCCCCCACAGTCATGACTGAACTCCTATGATACAGATACTGATACGATCCTACGCCCAGCACAACACATTTTGGCTTCTAATGTGACTTGTCACAGCAGAGTTCACGTGAACACTTGCACAAATTGCCCTTCCTGGCTCCACAATTTCACAAACACAGAGTTTGTGATCAGGCCATGGTATCTCTGTGTTTACACAACAACGCTGAGACCATGCCTCAGCTGATGCTCCCTGGACTGGGAAATGCAGCAGCTGACCAAACTGTCGTGAGCATCTCTCCACACTGAGCACAGGGACACCTTTACATGGGGCAGTTTCACTACAGTTCCAAGCAGGTTAATTTTATGATATTGTTTCCAAGTTATTAATTCGGAAAAAAGAAAAATAAAATCTGCCCCTAGGCTCAATTTTTCAAATATTTCCTCCCAGCCATAGACTCCTTTGCAAGTTTGTAAAATCTGTTATCATTTTTCTATTATCCAAAGACAGGGGGAGAAATTTGGCTTTATTACAGTCAGTCAGAGTGGAAAGTCTATGTTTAAAACATACAAAAGTTTCACTTTAAACTCTCATGCAAAGAGCAGATTATATAATTTTGGATAAAGGCATTTGGCTAAGACTTCAAGAAAATCACTTTAAAATATATTTAAGAAGTGAGAAGAGGTTGTTCTCCACAAGAATAAACATTTTTCCTCTTCTGTAAAGGGAAGCCATAGAAAAGCATCTGTTAGCAAAACAGTAAGTGTTTATAGTTTTTAACTACATGCGACTTCAATATACATTTGTTGGGGGCAAACGTTATGCTTCTAATAGCTACTACATAATCCCTCTGAATCACAGGCCAGAAACATTTGTTTCCATCAGTTCCAAAGGAAAGCTGTGGCAATTAGCTCCATCCTGGAAAACCACACAGCAGACACCAGAGTTCAATAAACCGCATCCCACCTTTATAAACTACAGGATGGTGGAACACTCTACTCAAAACCCAACTGCAAGAGGCAGGGAGGTGACTCTGGGATCCTTCACTCACAGAGGACTCTGTGTGGCACCAGTTGGCTCTAATAAATGTGAGAAAGCTCCCTCGGTTTCTCTGCTAAATTCAATCTCAGTCTAAAATGAAGGGTCTAGAATTATTTCTAGAACTCTTATTATAGTCTGATTTTTGTTTTCAAGATGTCACTTCTAACGCACCTCTGTGAAACTCATGAGAAAATACACCAATAATACAACACAGACACAGTAACTTACCTGGGGTGGAATGATGTTCTCAATACTGATACCCACATATACCAGCCGCTCTTTTCTTTAGGAGAGAAAAAAAAGGAAATAAACTTACAGAAAAACTGCAGAAACCCAAAATAATGCTGTAATTAGCACTATTTGAAATAACTCAAGCTCATTTCTCTTTTTAAAAGACTGCAAAAAAAGAATTTAAAATAATTTAAAAAAACAGTGTTATGATATAGATTAAAAAAATCGGGTTCATTTGGGTATGAGGATCAGACTGCAAAATAGTTGTTAAACATGTTTCAGGCATTGAAAAGTGCTATAGTAGCAATTGTATGCTCTCCTGTAACCAGTACAAGATCGTATTTTTATACAACACTGGTGATTTCAAGAACACAAGACAGACTGGAAAAAGCCTGCATTTCATACAATGTTTGCCAACAGAATATTTACCAAAGTAGGTCCAAAAATACTGTTCACTAGTAATGAGTCTTCCCAATACAAAAAGAGCAAACACAGTTTCTTTGTGTCCCATTCTCCTGCACAGACCGAGGCTGTGTATAAGCTGAGCTCACACATAAAAATAGCAAAATGTTTTGTTCCCAAAGCTACAAATTCCCAGGAGTTGGCAAGCCAAGGATAATTTTACTACAGTGTGAGCAGAAGCAGCGATGTCAGAACAGTCGGTACCTGATCTGGCACTACCATCACTGCTGCTGCGACAGCAATAACAGACAGGAGATGTGGAGGAAGCTGAAAGCAGGCACAGATTGTGCTTTGCTCTTCCCAGCACCAAATCTCTATATTCTGCCTGATATTACTGCATATGCCACAGATATAAAGCTGCTCAATTGCTTTCTTTAATGGGGTCTCACCTTCTGGTGAAATTTGCCTTTTAAGATACAATTCATGCAAAGTTTTGTTTAATAATGCATGCAGATTTTATAAAATTTTGCCAAGTGCTCAATACATGTCCTAAAACGTATAAATTATGCAGCCTGTGTTTCGTGTCCCTCATTTTCAGGTCTGAAAACTGCAGAGAGGCTGTTCCAAACATTAAGGATGTTGTTCATTGCATTTAGCCTTTGGTAGTGGCGGGGTGGACACAAAATTTCATTTAAAACTGTAATTCAACTGATCCATTGCATTACAGCAACTGCATAATCTTGAAAATTTGGCAAAGTTTAACAGAATCTAAAGCAACAAGACTCAAAACTCACATTGATCTGGACAACCTTTGTAACAAAGTCAGGGTTAACCTTGGTTACAACAGGAACTCCACAAACTGCTGACAGTAACACATGCAGCTGAAAACCATTTAACTACTGGTATGGAAAAGCCAAATTGGCATTCAGGCACCTTGACCAAAGTTTAATACCAATGTATTTGCTTAGCTTCTCCATTTTTGGGACTTTTTCTCCCTTCTTGTAAGCTTACCCAGCACTGTGCCACCAATTATCAGTGGGAAGCCAAAACTGGTCTCACCAATTCCCAGTCTCATCACTATTTTCCTCCCCAGTCCCCCATTATTTCAATGCTTGTTCAGTTATTGCTACCCCTCTGCAGAGCAGCTCACTCTGAACACAACCAAACAGTACCTGCGCTCTGCACGCTCCTTCTTTTTTAAGACAACATCCAGGTCTTGTAATTGTTCTTCTAATTTCTCGCAGAGTAATTTCTAAGGGAATGAAACACAGTATTAGTTTCCTTCATAACCAACAGTGTTCATCTGCTGTTCAGACACTTCACTCACTACTCCTGTATTTGTCACATTGATGTCTGGAAGAAGGGCGAGTGTCTTGCTACCTTGAAGGCTTCTCTTTGATGAACAGGGCTTTACAACAAAGACTCTCTTCCTAAAACACGCGTGCTTCTCCATCAACTGCTACAGAAATGCATCCTCCCAGTAACTGGCATTAACTGTAGGAAGCAATGTGGCTAAAGCAAGCATTAAAGATGCTTAGAATAAACATACTTCTAAATTAGTTCCCCATTTTTTACAGTATTTTCAACTTAACATCGGAGAATCTCAAGAATTTCACAGATGCACATAATATATATACACAAAGCTGAGTGCCTACACACATGGTGATACCTGCCTGTCTCTTATCTTAATTGTTGGAAAACACTTGAGTCTGTGGACACTGCAGTAAAAAACAGAGCTATATTTCAGCATCATTTTCTTACCAAACGTTCCATATCTTAGAAGGCAAATTAACACCTAAGGAGCCACATGTAAAAATTACTTTCTAGGGACAAGTTGTGCCCTATTCCATGTTAATGCCCTCACTGTACTATTTCCAAGGATGATCTCCACACTTTTACAAAAGTTATTTTTCATGTTAAAAATTACTAAACAGCAACAGAGCAAGGAGATGCTCTTACTGCACCCTGCAATCTCAAATTTTGTAAGAAAAACTATGTATTCAAGATCATCACTATTTAAGAAGACTCCTCAGAAGACAACTAAAAACACATGTTAGATACAGCCACATCATCCCCTGTCCGGTGTGAGTGGCTTCTTGCAGGGCAACAGCATTTTTGGCAAAGTATTTTTCTAAAAGCAAGGAAGTGGCTTGGGATCAGACAGATTATTCATGATTATTCATTCTATTAATTATTATTTAACATTCTGTTCATTATTATTGAACGTGAACAGCATCACACACTCTCTGCACCATCCCTGCAAGTCTTGCTATTTCAGGTGTGCTTTAAAATGAAACTGGGCACATGCTCTGATTTTTTTTTGGCAGAAGCAGCTTCTAACCTGCAAAAAAATGTCTGTACTTATCTATTACTCGACAAGGACAATGCTGGCTTTCCCAGCAGAGGCAAACTCTACCGTGAGACTCAGTAGGAACAGCAAATTTCTCTAAACAGCTTCTGAGCAAATGTCTCTGGAGAAGGATCAGGACTTCAGAACCAGCTGCTCGTCCATCCCTCGCTGCCTACTGCTTCCCCTTCAGGAGCACAAGAGGATGTTTCTTTTGGAAAAATTAAGGCATTATGTTTTCAATACTATCTTAGTCTTGAGGTAATTTAACAAAAGATGGGAGAAAAGCAGTGTGATTGGAGATTCCCATCTACGTGTCAGCAACGCCCAGGCATTCATCACTACTAGCAAAAAAGAAAAGTAAAAGGAAAACCACCTCACAAAGCTCAGCTTTACCAATGGGCAAGAGGGAAGATCAGCATCCTACAATTCATCACAGGTTATTTTTTAACAGAAAAATTACAAAAGAACTCCCAACAAATCTCCACAACCACAAATAGAGCTGAAAAGGAGAGCAGTAAAGTCAAACAGGAGCCATACATGCTGGCACGGTGGGCAGAACCACTCTCCGTCAGGGATTATCATCAGAGGAGGGCGAAGGCAGGCTGTGTGGTACCCACTGTCGCAGGAGTCGCACAACAAAATCTGCAGAAACAAAGTGAATCATGAGGATCTTTTGGCACTCACAACATGTAACACGCTCCAGGACTATTCCACCAGCCAACGCAGAAGCGCTTTATAAATACTTTCACAGAATCACAGAATGTTAGGGATTGGAAGGGACCTCAAAAGATCATCCAGTCCAATCCCCCTGCCGGAGCAGGAACGCCTAGATGAGGTTGCACAGGAAGGCGTCCAGGTGGGTTTTGAATGTCTCCAGAGAAGGAGACTCCACAACCTCTCTGGGCAGCCTGTTCCAGTGCTCTGTCACCCTCACTGAGTAGAAGTTTCTTCTCAAATTGAAGTGGAGCCTCCTGTGTTCCAGCTTGTGTCCATTACCCCTTGTCCTATCATTGTTTGTCACCGAGAAGAGCCTGGCTCCATCCTCACCCTTTAAATATTTATAAACATGAATGAGGTCTCCCCTCAGTCTCCTCTTCTGCAAACTAAAGAGACCCAGCTCCCTCAGCCGCTCCTCAGAAGGGAGATGCTCACTACTTTGGACTGTGCCAAAACAAAAAACCAATCCTGTATCATTTATAGCTGTTTCCAGCACTGGGGGTGGTTTTTATGAGAATGTTTAAATAGGAAGGAAGGAGGAAGTTTTCTATTTTAAACCCAGACTTTCTATGTGTTCGCAGGCATTTACTACTGCTGGCCTACAAAGACTGTGTGCCCATAGTGTGGAGTTTGGTAACGCTTTCCAGGTCCCAGACTGAGTGGAAAACTGCATTTGGACAAGATGTGGTGTGCATCGTTTTCCCTGTGCACTCACATCCACATGAAGGAAACCGGGACGTTTCCTCAGTCAGCATGATTTTACATCCCGGATGGCAGAGATGAAGCCTTGCAGACTTCTAGGGGTATATAGAACTAGGCAACTATTACATGTTTAGCTGAGTAAAGCTTGAGATATCTCTTTCCATCAAAGCCGAGGAACAAAGCTGGCATAAGCTGTGTGAGTATCTACTGGAATATTGATCTCAAACATCCTAAATTTCAAACTTTGTCTCAACTACGCTAGGATATCTGTCACACACCTGAGAGTATGGTTATTTTGTGGATTCACAGCAGGACTGCACATTATGATTTCCCAGATAAACAGAGCAATTCCTGATGCTATCTACCACTGATGAACCAAAACCATAAATATTAGAAATAGGGAAAGCTTGCTGTGCTACTTCTCTGTGGAATTTTGCTGTTTCCAGTCCTGAGGGTGATGTGCAGCAATATCCAACGAGGATGACTACATAGCTGGGACCACGTCACGAGGTACTGGAAAGCATACGCTGCACTACTGTGGTTTCTAAATGTTGTCTCCTCTGTATTCACCGAGATAACATTGAGAATTAATCTGAGTGAGGCTAAAGTTGTGTGATACCTTATAAAGATGCTTCAGAGGTGGTAAAAAGAAGAAATAATGTCCTTCTCTCCTTATTAAAGGTAAACTCATCTACTGTCATAAATTTACCACCTATTCTCCTGTGTACAGCCACCCCAAAGGATGACGTGCCTTCAGATCCCACCAAAGCCAACCCACCCAACCTGACAGAACAGCCAGCAGCAGCTTTCCCCAGATCCTACCAGCTCGGGGTGATTGGGAAGGCCACACTTCTTGCATGGCTCATCGTCATCAGCAGGTGCAGCTTCTTCCTCCTCTTCCTCTTCCTCTTCCTCCTCCTCCTCTGAGTTTTTTTCACTCTCCGAGCCCTCACTTTCTTCATTACTTGAGTATTTCCACCTGCCCCGTGTCCGCGTACCCGTCCACCGAACTTTGCTTCTCTGTGAGACACCAATTCAAAGAGAAAACACAAAGGAAGCTCACAGAGTTTCTTCCCAGATCTTAAAAAAATCTTTGTCTCTACAGTGAGGTGATTAATTTCCAGCAGAACAGCTGCAGTAAATGTACAGCAGAGCATTTCAAGAAGATTCTCTTTAAAAGCCTTAAAATTCAACAGGACAATAAAGGGAGAAAAATTCACATCTACCTGCAGAAAGATTTAAAAGGACGTGACAAATTTGTCACTCAGCCCCTTTTTTTTCATGTTTAGACACAGCAAACTTGCTTGTGAACATGGTAAATTCCACATTTAATCTTTCCGATGAGAGCTTTCCTCAATGCAATCAGAATCTTCGCCCCCCACCCCATGCACAGTTTGTGACTTTTATTTCACTTTAGGAAAAGTGTTTGCACTCTAACAAGGCTATGAAGGATTTCTAGTGCTTTCCGCTAAAATGGGATTACTTTTCTGAAACAGAATCACCTTTTAAGTACATAACTTATGTCTGGATCTTTTCACATTTGTATTTCTCCATTATTTTTCTTAAGTGAAAACTGATTCAGTTGATGCTTCTTCCTTTGCTACTAAAAGGGCATTGACCCCTATCATATTTGGAATGAGAAAACAGCTTTCTGTTACATTTCATAGTATTATTTCATAATACTGTTTTGAATTAGTTAAAACTACTTTCTGTAACTAGGATATTTTATATTTAAAGCAACATACCAAAGAGAAAAAGCCTTTTCTTCCCATTAACTGACGTCTTGCAGACATCGTTCTCGCCTGTTTTCCCCACCAGGCATTGAAAAAGGAAAATAACTTGTTTCGCTTTTTCAAGTTATAACATTTTTTCAAATTTGACTAAGCTGCTCATTGACCTGAACGAACTGAATGAACTAAAATGTAAAAGATATTCTATTTATCCTGCAGGAGGGGCTTGTATCAAAGCAGGATTTGTCACATTGGTAAAATTTTGTTTCAGGTTCTTAACATTAACTTCCAGCTCTCTACTGATTTTACTGTTCATTAAACTTTAGTAGCAAATGTGCTTCAAATTTATCACAGTATTAGTTTAAGTTTAGGCTTCATCATCTGTCATCATAATCTCAAACCTATTTTTAAAGACCCTTCTTTAAAACAAATATAAAAAATCCTATTAAAGATGAGGGCATTTTTCATCTTTATAAAATGACAGCAGCTTACTACTTTCAAACTTCTTCCTCTACCATACTTATTTTAAAATCTCTCTAGAAAAGTATTTTTAGATCGCTGTATCTTTCAAAAATTAAATAAAGTTAAAACTCCTATAGCAACAGTACTTAAAAATTAAAATTACTTCTAGGACTTGCAATCACTATGATTTTAATTTATTTCATAAATGAAAATTTTACAATTAACTTTTAAAGTGAAAACTTGTTCTTGCTTCTCTATGTATTTGATAGATTTTTTCGGTATAAATGGTATCATTCATTGTAAAATCAATTGTTCATTCTATGAAGGTTATTTAATATAGCAGTATGTGAAAAAAACCTCCCTAAATAGGTGAATGTCTTGGTACAGCTACAAAAATCAGTAAGGAAATGAGTAGCAGTAGAAAAATTGATGGGATTTCAAGTTGATATAAAAAGAGTACACTTAGAAATACAGACTCGATTTCTTGTTTCTTCCTTGTACTCCAGGAAAAAAAGGAAGATAAATTAATAGAAAGTGTTTATAATTGCACAGACTTAGACGGACACTACGCATATGTGTATTTTGACTTTGTGCTATAGTTACCTGACATATTGTTGAGATCTATGCTGCATAAGCAAAAGTTTATCATGAAAAAAGACACCTCCACCCAAGGTAAAGTGCATATACCACATAGGAGAAAAGCTAAACCATATCATCAACTCACTACAACAGTACCTTTAGCTTCACCTAGAAACAGAAGTCATAATATTTTTTATTCTTCACCATTAGTTGGTTCCTTTTTGGCTTACGATCATCCTGCCCCACCAGACACCAACAAGCATCCATCTAGAAAATCCACGGGAGCCAGAAGTCTCCACTCAGCCAGACCGACTCAGGTCTGCTCCTCTCGGTTTTAGAAGTCACTCGGGTTGACTTGACCCACTTAGTTTAGGTGAAGTGACAGATTTTAGAAACTGGGAAGTCAAACAGACATTAGCACTCTCCTAGGGGGTGCTTTTACATTGGTCAAGTCCACTAACTGGATTGCAAAGCTAGTTTCTTGCACAAGCTGACCAAGGGAACATAATCCTCAATATCCCTATGTACGTGAATATTCTCCTTATAAGACTGCAGGGGTTCTGCATTCCCAGGTAAGAAAACTCTATTACCTTGTTAGCCTTCGAATTTGACTCCTTCTCTTGTTTTTTTGCATCTTCTTTTCTTTCTGGTTTTTGTGCAGCTGCAGGTTTCTCCTCTTCCTCTTCAGGCCGTTTTTTGTCAGACTTCTGATCCCGAGTCTCCACGACTTTTGGAGTGGGCTTGGATATCCTCGGAGATCGCCTCAACGTGCGGCCAGCGCTGACCTCTTCTGGTGGTGTTTCTATCTTCCTCTTCCGACTGGAGATCCTGATCGTCAGCTTAATTCCTTCTTTCTGTCTTTCTGAAGTTATTTCTTTATTATCTGTTGCACAGCTTTCTTCAGAAACTAGCTTATATTTAAATTTGCTTTTAGGTAGTGGAGATTCCTTTTTACCCTCTGAGGAGTCCTCTAGATTAGAGGCATGGGCATTGTCCGATCTCTCTGGCTCTGCCTTGGCACCTTCCTTCTCTGCCTCTTGTTTTTCAAGGATGGGTGTTTCCTCTACTTTGCTCTCCTCAGGCAGAGCCACGTTACCATCAGAGCCCTCCTTTTCCAAAACGGGCTCCTCTAAAGTAACAGGAGAAGTAGATGAAGGGGGCGTCTCAGCAGCTTTTGGGGAATCGGGCTTCTCCTCAGACTCCCCTTTACTTTTCAAAGTCTCTTCATTGGACAGTGCAAGTGCGGGCGGTTCTGCAGGAGCAGATGCATTTGTGGGCTTCTCCAGACATTCTTTGGGTGGCGATAACCTGGCCCTTTTGATTTGCACGGCTGGCGTCTCTTCAGCTGTTTTGGCACAGTCTTCAGAGTTTGATGACTCTTCCACTACCATTTCAGTAGCGGTGCTGTCAAGGGGCTCTCTTTCCACAGGACTAGATTCCTCCTTTAAAGGCACTTTCTGATTGGAGACCTCAGAGACCACAGCCACGGTTTCTTTCACCACAGCTACCGCATTTTTCTCAACTTCGCCTGCTTTTATAACTTTACTAACGGAATTTAGGGAGTCCGATACCTTTTCCCCACTTTTTCCATTTTTCTCCTTTAAGGAGCTGCCATCTTCCTTTGTGCTAGCAGAGTGCTCGGATTTATTATTCTGAATGACACTTGGGGTTATTTTTTCACAGCTAACTTCTCCATTCACTAGCACTTTCCCATCAGGACATAACGCAGTGATTGTAGGGACTCTCTTAAAAGCTTCTTCTTCAGGTTTCCCTTCTTCCTTCAAGACATCCTTTGTTGGAGTAACACATTTACACAGGGGCCCCTTTATGGGACTGTCATAGTCATCTGTCAGCTTGATCTCGCGCTTTTTAAGCGGTATTTTGGCCTGCTGATCATTTTTAAGTTTCTCGCTTTCTTCCACAGATTTATCCACGTTTTCTTGGGGAGTTTTGACATTAACACAAAATTCCAACCTCTCCGGCTCATGAACTGCTATTTTGTCTGCACAACTTTTTACTTCCTTTAAGTCTTTTGGTTCTATTTTGTTTTCCTTCACATCTGCTTTAATGGGCTTGACGTTTTCTTTAAAAGAGTCACTTTCTTCTTTGACAGTCTGCCTTTCTTCATTGCATTCTGAAAGTTTCTCTAATTTTACTATTACTGGCAATTTTATAATTTCTTTTTCTTCCACTTTCTCAATTTTCACCGTACTTTCATCTTCTTTGACCACAGGAAGAGGGAGGCTTTCCAATTCCATTGGCTGCTCCTCCACCTCCTCTTTTTCTTCTTTGATTTTTAATTGATTTTCTGTTGGCAGAGAAAAACAGCTATGAAACAACCAGGGCACCTACAGGATTACAAAGAGCATCCATCCAAACAAAGGCCTATCTAAAAAACCCAAAGTCCCTTACAAACGGATCTTCTCCCATTGAATTATTGGCAATCTGGCTCCTCTAACACTGTCATTGAATGAGCAGGTTGCCAATTTTTAGCTACAGTATCACAGTTCAGTTTAAGTATATACCAGGATAAACCTAAATTTCAGAAGCCATAAGCAGAAATCTAGATTTATCCTTCTTTTTACAGACATCTCAGTCCCTTCTTCAGTAGCACCATGATACTTTCTGAGAACACGTAAAGCCTAAGTACTGGGTGCACGAAGCATCAACTCAATCTCACTTGAGTTTCCGAATTATTTCCCAAACCAAAACTTGCTGTGAGATTTCATGGTCTTCAAGTGAAATTCCACAGAGAAATCAGTACCCCGAATGCACACATTTTTATTTCAAGAAATCACAGAATCACAGAATACCAGGAGTTAGAAGAGACCTCAAAAGCTCATCCAGTCCAACCCCTGCCAGAGCAGGATCACCAGACCAGGTCACACAGGAACACGTCCAGGCGGGTTTTGAATGTCTCCAGAGAAGGAGACTCCACAACCTCTCTGGGCAGCCTGGGCCTGGGCTCTGTCACCCTCACAGTAAAAAAGTTTTTCCTCATGTTCACATGGAACCTCCTGTGCTCCAGCTTGCTCCCATTGCCCCTTGTCCTGTCATTGGCTGTCACTGAGCAGAGCCTGGCTCCTTCCTCCCGACACTCGCCCTTTACAAATTCATAACCATGAATGAGGTCACCCCTCAGTCTCCTCTTCTCCAAGCTAAAGAGACCCAGCTCCCTCAGCCACTTATGAGGATAAGGGAGATGCTCCACTCCCTCAGTCATCTTTGTGGCTCTGCGCTGGACTCTTTCAAGCAATTCCCTGTCCTCCTTGAACTGAGGGGCCCAGAACTGGACACAATATTCCAGATGTGGTCTCACCAGGGCAGAATAGAGGGGAAGGAGAACCTCTCTGACCTACTGTTGTCACTTATATGCACAGTTAAGATATTGGAAATGCCTGAGACAAAGACAATTCTGCTGGTGTTCATCACAATTTACTGCAATTTCTACAGTGGTCTTCTAATGGTTGCAGAACAACTCAAACTTTATCTACATGTTTTATTTCTTTCTTCTGTCCTACACTGTTTGTTGCACAGAACGAGAATAAAATAGCGAGTCTCTCTCTTGGACACTCAGAACCAAGACAGCCCTTGCCCGATTCCATCCATCAAATTAACTTACACAGATCTGAAGACACCCATACTAACACACTGGAATCCTTCCTTTTTTTTTCTGATTGTGAAAACCTGTCCCTGTATTTTAACAAAATGGCAAGAACCAGGGTAAAACTGCTTGGAATAACAAGCTTTTACCTTTTCATAACCTAAAAAAGATCAGATTCTTAGAACACAAAATATTTCAGGCTGATGCTTAGTAAAACCAATGCACAAACCATCAAGGCAAGTAAGGTACTACATAAGTGCAATGACATGATGATAAGGAAGGAAAAAAGGTTCCCGTTAATAAGAACGATTCAGCAGAGGCAGCTAAGGACCACTTCACTTGTACAATTTTACTATTTTAAATTGATTTAACAAGTTCATCTCTTGAAAAACCACGTAGATTGTGGAACATCTGAGGAAGCAGCCTGATTCCAACTCAAAAGCAAAAACCACACCCAATAGTGTATCGATTTCAATCATGGCATTGCACAAACAGGTGTTTTTTCCTTCCTTTCTAAAATTTTCAAGTTGCTAGGATAGGAAAAGTTTGGCAACAGTTCAACGCCCCACAAAAACATACAATGTTATTTATAATATTATGCAAAATGTACAGCAAAAATAAAATGGCTCAGAAAATAATTGATACACAGCTCTCCTGTAAACTCTTGAGCCTAAATATGCACTAAGAAAACTCCAATAATGTTTTTAATTTCAAAGTATTCAATAATTACTTGACTTACTTTGAATAGAAACATTTTTTGTGGGCTTTTTTTTTTTCCTGAAGTCCTAATCTAACACAGTAACTGCTCATTAAGTTGAAAATCACAGAATCACAGAATCAGAATGTTAGGGATTGGAAGGGACCTCAA